AGAAATTTTAAGTAGTTCGGAGAACCGGTAGCAGAAATTTTAAGTAGTTCGGAGAACCGGTAGCAGAAATTTTAAGTAGTTCGGAGAACCGGTAGCAGAAATTTTGAGTAGTTTGGAGAACTGGTAGCAAAAATTTTGAGTAGTTCGGAGAACCGGTAGCAGAAATTTTGAGTAGTTTGGAGAACTGGTAGCAAAAATTTTGAGTAGTTCGGAGAACCGGTAGCAGAAATTTTGAGTAGTTCGGAGAACCGGTAGCGGAAAATTTGAGTAGCTCGGAGAACCGACAAATGCCACCTCTGGCGGGCCCCAGAGTGTGGTGGAAGTGGAGATTTTGCAGTATCCTTCCCCTGCCACGCCCATCAAGCCACACCCACCAAGCAACACCCCGCACACCACACCCACAGACCCACAGGTAGTAAAAAAAATTAGAATTTCACCACTGCCATACGTGTGTCGGGCCCAAAACTGAGTCTTTCAACTGAGTTCTTTCCCGTTTCACGCCTATAGACAAAATCTTGCCAGTTTGAAGCCTCTGCTACCTACATCTACGGTATACTCTGGGAACTATTGAGGAGGAGCTGTCTCTACCTCCTTTCTCTCACAGAAAATATATGAGCTGAGTTCCCTCTTCTAAATGCATTCTCCCCCCGCCCCCACCCCAGAATCTGCTTCCTACCACGTTCCATCCATCTCCACACTGCGTTCCATCACACATGCCAGTCACAGCTGCAAGATTCCTTTAATATTCCCCATGATGGTTTTTCTCTTGATCTGTTTCCAGTGAATCTCTTTTAAATGTGCCGTTCTATTTAAGCATCCCAAGCTCCGAATTAACCGGTATATAGAAAATTTGCAAGTATAAAGACTTCCCCTTGCAAATAAAGATTTGCAAGGGAAAGCCCTACAACAGAAGTCCCAACGGCTATATCAGTTGCACCCAATGAGAAGAACTGGACTTCCTTTTCGCCTCCCCTAAATGTCAAAACATTACAGGCTTTATATCCTAAATTTCTTTCCCCTGCAGCCTGAAGATGAGTCTGAACAGGACACAATGTAGTGCGGTGGTTGGGTTTAGCGGCACCACATCTGGACCCTTGGGGTTCTTCAGAATTAAAAATGACAACGAACAGAAACCAATCGCAGTCTTTCTCTCTGCCAGGCAGCGTCTCCCGAAGCCCCTTCGCCTTCTCACACCTTGACCCCCCAGTGAAGAGTGCACGATGACAGATCGTTTGCCCTTCAACCAGTATATAGACAAATTTGCAAGTATAAAGACCATTGTGTTAATTCCGTCTCAGTAACCTGCCTTTCTTGGAGACTTGCTTTATCACTGGCTCAACTGCCACTCAACTCATCCTGGCTAAAGCTATTGATTCCTCAGGAGGCTCTTACCTGATCTCGAAAAGGTAAGTTTGAGAACACAGGAAGGTTTTTTGCCCATTTCACAGCCATGAAGAGGAGTCGGGCAGAGATTTCGTACACACTTTCGGGACCGGCAGCGGGATGCGGGGACCGGGGAGCTTCCGTCCCCCCATGTTCCGGTTCATTAGTGGTCACGTCGATGTTTTCCTCTGCTGCGAAGACAAACGGCCCATCGGTATCGTCTTTAGCAGTTACAGTGGTGAGTTGCAGGCGGTACACCCCAGTACAGGCGTACCGGTATCTGTCGAGAGCACTGGGTACCGTTCTGGTACCGTGTTCCGGAGGGCCCGCCTGCCCGCCCAAGTGCCTTACCTGTATTTGAGCTCTTCAGCACTTCTGTGCACTGCGTGCACGTAAGGTGCCTGCGTGACGCTCCGCTGAGCAGCTGGAGCATCATGGAGGCGTCACAGAGGTAAGGACACATACGTGTGCTGTGCAAGTGTGCATGTGGGAGACACCGGGCCCCATTGCACTGTACCATTTGCAACAGGATCCGGAACCCACCACTGGGCAGATAGTAGGGTTTGCAAGTAGGCGCGATTCAGAAGAGGTTGAAGCAGAACTGTCACTATTTAAGCCCCAAGTATCTCTTGATGTGCCATTTCCTGTTGGGACCATTGTATCGACTGTGCCAACATCTCTTTTGCTATCCCACCTGGACTTCTATTTGGGGGAAGGAAATACCACATACTGTGATATTTAGGGGCAGTACCAGGGTTGGTATTCACTTACCTTCCCTACAGTTTGCAAATGTGAGCGCATGCACTCAGCTTTCCGTACATGCGCTTTTGGTGGAAAAAAGGGCCTAAATGGGATGCCATAGAGCCAGGACAGGTCTCTGAATTCATCCTAAATCTTAAGCTTCTCCCAGAGAGCTAGGACTGCACCAGCAGGGGGCGCTGTTGCTTGCAGATCTTCAATTCTGCGGAGTAGCTTCACCCCCCCCCCCCTTGTTGAGGGTCCCTTCAGGCAGACCTTCTCCCTTGTCCCTCACTCAAGCACCAGCCACCTACCATCCTCTGGCTCC